AATGTTTTATAATATCATTTATTTATGTAATCTAAAAAAGTCAAATTCTTAGAAGTACAGAGTAGGACGGTAGTTGCCAGGAATTGGGGTGGTGTGAGGGGATGAAATAAAGCTATGTTGGTCAGAGGGTACAAACTTTCATTTACATTTGTCATTATATATTATATATGTGTGTGTATATATATATATGTGTGTGTGTGTGTGTGTAAGGGTACTAATATTAGGGTACTCCAGAGAAGCAGAAGAAATTCCTTCTCCTTTTCTGAAGTACCATAATAAAGCCACTTTGGAAGACAATCTCAAGGTTTCTAGCAAAGCAAAGTATATTATGTTCCTTGGTGCTACCTAATTGAATAGAAAACTTATGTCTATGGAAAAGGTGCACATAAATGATTATAACAGTTTTTGTTCAAAGATTACAATATTTTGAAACAACCAAGATGTCCTTTAGTAGGTAAATGGGTAAAAAATGGTGGTACATCCTTACAATGAAATATTATTCAGAGATAAAAAGAAATTAGTTATCAAGCCACAAAAAGACATGGAGGAAACTTAAATGCATATTTCAATGTGAAAGAAGCAAGTATAAAAAGTTTACATAATTTAGATTCTAAATATATGATATTAGGTGAAAGGCAAAAGCATAAATATAGTAAAAAATCTGTGGTTTCCAGTAGGAGTGGGGAGAATGTATGAATAAATAAGTGGTGCACAGAAGTTTTTTGAGTGGTAAAAAAAAATCTGTATGATATTGTAATGATAGTTACATGCCATTATGCATTTGTCAAATGCTGTAAAACTGTACTATATAAACACTAATGTAAACTGTGGACTTTAGTCAATAATATATCAATACTGTTTCATCAGTCATGAAATATGTACACTACTAGTGAAAGAAAGAGGGGCTACCCATGGACTCTCTGTACTATCTGCTCAATCTTTTGGTAAATATATAACTGTTCTAAAAATAAAATCTGCTAATAAAAAAATTCAACAGCACACAAGGCCTTGGTATCTTTTTCTACAAAATAGGTAAAAGTAAGGTGTTGCTAGGAAATATAGAAATGATAAAAAGACCTGGATTATAAAATATCCTCAACAAAGTGTGATGCCATAACTCCTTTCCTTTTAGTCTGATTTAGAAACAATTACAGACCAACATCAGTTAACAACTATTGAGTTTCTGCTACAAAATCAAAAAAGCTCGCTCTTTATATTGAACCTGAAACTGGACAAAGTTCAAATTGCTATATAAAGTTACTAACTTTAGAGAAATATTTAAATATATTATGCCATATTAAAATTCTGGAATACTAAATCCTTAATATTTTTATTCTCCTGAATCAAAATTTTCGTTTCTTCTTGGCTATTTATTCTGATGGGAGAAGCTTAACATCATTTTCTCAACTTCCATAATAAAAATTGCTAATTTGATTTTAGTTGCTATAAAATATAGCCATCCTGTCCTAAAACATGGTGTTTTTCTGACAATAGCTTGGGAATGGTGGAGGTGGCACACATACTTACCCCACCTCCAATGATGTAACAATGTCTTTCTCTATTTATCTCCTCCCTCCTCAGATACACACATCACTCATTCTCATGTTCCTCCACTTCCTCCTTTTCAGAAAATATACAGAAACAAAGAGACATAAACTAATTTATTCAATGACAGATTACAGAACAGCAGGCCTGTTGGTGTTTCAGAAATGCCTTTATCGCTGTGATGGAATTTTGTAGTGTGACTAGGAACATTATAAAAAGGAATGATAATTGTAATCCCAGTGACACGGATTATATAGGCTATGGGATCTATCCACCAACAACTCAAGCTATAAAACTAAGTTTGTCTTTTTATTCAAAACTCATTTAAGGACTCCTAGTAAAGTTCCGTAATTTTTCTCTGGTAGGTTGTACATCCTTATTTTTAGAGTCTGTAGGCATTTTGTAGGATTTTCTATTTGCCTTCTCTGTTTTCCTCATTCTACTTTTTATCTGGTTATTGCTGATAGATATGTTAGCTATGGTTTTTGATATTTTCATTGTACATCCTAATTTAGGTTGAACTCATTTATTCTATGAGTTTTTAAACAGCACTCTTTGCATTTAACAAGAATATACTCACATCTTATTCTATAAATAATTATTGATTTGTCTTTTTTCATAGTCACACCTCTTATTTCTAATTTCTCTTTGGCATACTTTCTATAAATAATAATGGTGATGGTTAGCATGCTTACCTTATTTTATATTTTAAAGAGATTGCCCTGGATTTCATGTAGATAATATAAAAAAGAACATAGTATGGCAAAAATTAATTTTTAATCAGAAATAGACATCTGAATTTTATAAAATGGTTTCTGGAAAAATATTGAGGTTATAAAATTTATCTTATTGAATCAACTGGTAAAGCATACAACAGTATTATAGATCCTTGTATTCCATACACCAACCTTCACTAGAGCCTGTTCTAAAATTATCCAATATGAAATGAAACTCCTAAATGAATTCACATGTATTTCAATCTGTCTCTTTTTTTAGCAGGCGACTATTTTAAAGTATTATTTCAAGCTAAACTATTCTATGATAGCTCTCCCTGCTACTTGATGCCAACAGGTGATGAAGTCTGCAACATTGTCACTTCTGAGACTGCAGAGAAAGTTTCAGTAACAGTGACACTCTTGGTTAGTATCACAAGTGAAAACCCCATTTAGGAAAATTGGCTTTTCATATGCATGAATTTCAGGTCAGCAAAAATATCATTTTAATATTGTAAAGGGAAGGGTTTGGGGTCAGAATATTAAATTGGCTAGAGAATTTGGTAATGAAGAGTCTGTACATTAAGTTATTAACATTTTTGCTTAAGTTACAGAACAGGAAGTGAGGTAATTCTACTGTGAGAGCAACTTATATGGACTAAAAGTTCAATGCGAGTAATTTACTTCCATTCACTTACTTTTGTCCTTCTGCACCTGGCTTCATAACTTTGCATTTATCCTCCAGCTCCCCAGAAAAGTACCAATTTGCTTTGCCACTAGCATTCTATGGTTTATCAACCCAAGCAACCGAGGAATAGTATCTTAATTTTTCTATAGTTCCTCCTTTAATTACTTGTAAGTCTTAACATTTCTTGTGTTTTTACTATTCACTTACATATCTTCTTTTATAATTTACCTTTCTCCTTTTCCTGTGTCCCTGGTGGTATTTCTCTTATAATGGGTTATAGCCTGTATAAGGTTAATAATCCTCTATCATTTTTATTGACAGTATTTTCTATGATTTCTCTCTTTTAGATATTATTATTTCCTATATGTGAAGCTATCTTAATACATGTAAAAAGTTAATATAGGAAGAAATTCTGTTTCTGGGTTTATAACCTATGAAGATCTCACTTTTCTCTTTTCCTCTTTTAATACTAATGCAAAGAGTGCTATTTAAAAACTCACAGAATAAATGAGTTCAACCTAAAATAGGATATATGATGAAAATATCAAAAACCATAGCATTACAAAAAGAAATTTAAAAATCCACTGAGTTTTTATATGAATTACATTGTACCTATAGATTTTTAAAAATGCATAATTTTATAACATGATTTTCAAATCTAGTAACACAGTAATGTATTCACATATGCTGTGTTTACGTTTTGGTTTTTTTTGTTGTTGTTGTTTTTGTTTGTTTGTTTCTTTTTTTTTTTTTTAGGCAGAATCTCGCTCTGTCTCCCAGGCTGGAGTACAGTGGCATGATCTCAGCTCATTGCAACCTCCGCCTCCTGGGTTCACACCATTCTCCTGCCTCAGCCTCCCGAGTAGCTGGGACTACAGGCACCCGCCACCAGGGTATTTTGTATTTTGTTTAGTAAAGACGGGGTTTCACCGTGTTAGTCAGGATGGCTTCGATCTCCTGACCTATGGTTTGAATGCATCGCCTCCAAAATTCAGGTGTTGCCAATGCGTTAGTATTAAGAGGTGGGGCCCTTAAGAGGTGATTAGGCCATGAGGGCTGCCCCTAGTTAATGCAATTACAGCCATTTCTTAAAAGGCTTCATGCAGCCTTAGCAGCTGTCTCTTCCACCCTTCTGCCATGTTTCTCCCTTCTGGAGAATGCAGCAAGATGGCCTTCACCAGACACTGAACCTGCCAGCACCTTGATCTTGGACTTTCCTGTCTTCAGATGTATGAGAAATAAATTTTCGTTCTTTGTAAGTTATCGAGTCACAGACATTTTTTCATGGTGGCACAAAACAAAGACAGAATATAAAAGCCATCTTCCACCACACTTAAGTTTCTTCTAGTTTTTACACATATGTTTCATAATTCATAAGTATTGCAAAACAATTTTGACTAGTGGTTTTTGGTCTATTTAGATGATTCTAATTTAGAGATTATTCGACTTTCACTAGAACACTTTCCTCATTCTTACTGTGAGTTGTTATACTGATTCCCTTGAGGATTGAGATATACAATTCCATTGCTTCCAAGTAATAATCTGTATTATTATTAAGTAGTAGTTTAAAAATTACTTTTAAAATTTGATAGAGCTGTTCCCCTTATTATTCTTCTTTCCCAAATGAACCTTTGTTTTTAAAAAGACAAATTTGTTTTATTATTTCATCTGATTATAAAAGCATTTTAAAATAAAGCTCAGGCTAAAATGATTGCATATATAATGTTGTCTCAATTACCTAAAATGTACATCTACACATGAGCATAGAAGAATCACTGGATAGATACATACCAAATTATTAATAACGGTTACCTCTGAGCAATTTATTTATTTGATTTATCATACTTTATTTTCAAAGTACTCATTTCATTACTAAAAAATAAAATATCTAAAATAACCATGAAAAATTACACCCAAAATTGCTTAGTATAAGTTCTGAAAACCTTAATTCCGTATGCTAACACAGAAATATTTGGCAGAAAGTGAAGTAAAGGGTTCAGAATAGCATCTCCTTGACTAAAAATAATTCTTAAACAAATTTTATTTAAAATTACCTTTTTCTGAGCCAAAATGAGATCTTGGTCCACTTTGGACATTAAAAATGAGCCTCCATCATGTTCCATCCAGTAAAATTTTAAGTCTTTTAAATGTACCTTTGTGTCTAGTTTTAACCTGTGGAGCATTAAAAGGAAACTGACGTCAACAAATTATTTAGATATCCTTACTAGTTCAATCCTGACATCTGAGCTTCAGCTCTAATGAAGTATTTTTCCCTGAGCACTGTGTGCCAGAAACAGTGTTATACCTTTAGAATTTAGATTTGCATTTAAGAAATGTACTTGAGCTGCAGGGGAGAGAATGGTTTGAAATGCATCAAAATTGTAGACATAGTGACAAATCAAAATGCTTTGGTAGCAGTTAATGGTAGAAATGATTGTAGCCTGAACTAGAACTGTAACCATGATGATTGAGAGATATATAAAGATGTAAGAAATCATTAGTAGGTAGTTTCAATATGACTCAGCATTGCTTAGATGTAATGACTGAGAAAAATTGGATATGAGGCTTTAGCAACTGGGTTGATTTTGGTCATCCAATCACTGGGATTGGGCAAGAATTGAAGTAGTGGATCAGGTTTCTGGAGCTTGGAAGAAAAATACTATCAGTTTTAGATATATTGAGTTTCAGTTATCTGAAATGGCCAGTCTTCCTGTAGTAGTAAATAGACAGTCCTCTAGCTTAAGTGAAAAGAGTGAGCTGAAGAGGTAGATTTCAGCATCATCTGTGTATGGAAAATGGTTGAAGTGGCAAGGATAGATGGAGTCATTCTGAGAGGGTAAGTAGAAAGAAGACAGAGAAGTAAACCAGGTCCTTCTAGAATACCAATATATAAGAGATGAACAAAGGAAGGAAGAGCCAGTAAGGCAGATGAAAGGAAAAGGAGCAATATCAAAAGGGTGGACTGTCCATAACACAAAGCATAAATGCTTAAGGGGATGAATACCTACGCCATTTTCCATGAAGCAATTATTATGCATTACATGACTGCTTCAAAATATCTCATGTAGCCCATAAATATATATACCTGCTATGTACCCACAAAAATTAGCAATAATTTTAAAAAAGATTGTATCACAAGAGCCAAGGGCAGAGTTTGTTTCAATAATGATGGAGTAATATCAATACTGCCACCAGTTATAATGAGGTAATGAATGGTAAGTATTGAGAAGCAGTCATTATTCTTAGCAAAAATGCAAAAAAAAAAAAAAAAAGTCAGGGACCTTGGCAAGAATAATTTTGGTGGTAAAAACCAGTTTGCAGTGAATTCATTTATGAGACGGCAATGTGAGAATTTAGAGTCAATGAGTATAAATAATTCACACAAAGGGTCTGGCAATGGGGCAAAAAGCAGCATAGAGTAGTGGCTTAAGGGGAATAAGTGGCTAAAAAAATTTTGTCTCATTTTAAGATGAGAGACACTTAGGATGTTTAATTATAATGACAAGGGTGCATAAGTGTGTGTGTGTGTGTGAGAGAGAGAGACAGAGAGAGAGAGAGAGACAGAGAGACAGAGAGAGACAGAGAGAGGTTAAAGTCATACTAAGGTGAGATAAGTAGTGGAACAAAGACCTGAGAGAATAAGAGAACATAAGATCAAGAGCATAACTGAAACTACTTATATGCTAAAGCAAAATGGAAAGATATTTTCTCCACTCTAAAAGGAGAAAATAATGAACGTTGGAGACCTAGAAAAATGTGATGGTAAGAAACTGAAGTAAGTTACATATAGATTGCATTTTTTTTTTTTTTTTGATGAGATAAAATGTGGGAGTATTTACTTGAGGGTAAAGGAAAGGAGAAGATCACAGGTTTGCTGGAAATGGAAATAATTTGAAATCACTGCTATAGAAAACGTAAAAAAAAAAAAAATGCTGTCTATGGAAACCGATTTCCAAGCAGCATTGATGCCTAGGTGAGATTGGAAAGTATGTATATGGTGACAGATGGCAGAAGAATCAGAAAGGCTGAACTTGAAGTGCACATAGTCCTTATACTCAAATTCACAAATGAACAACAAAAAGATTCACCGTTTCCATCCCAAAATAAGGCCTCTCTTTGTATTTTCTCAGTAAAATACTTTTACACGGCATCTTCCCAATTTGTGAATCATGGTATCCACTTATATAAGTATATAAAGGCTCTCTCATAAATATCTGCAATAATTATTTGCTTGAGGACTGAAAGTCTACCTCTATGACATTAATAAATAAAGAGAGAATGAATGTCAGGATAAGAGTCTGAGGAAATAAAAATAAATGAACATACCTTTTGATCCCAGGTCCTGCCATGACCTTCAACATGGGGGCCAGGTCTTCAGCATAGCGGCACATCGGACCAGTGCACTGAAACAACTCCTGGCCTCCCACAGCCATGGGAAACTGACCTTTGTTGGGAACCACACCTGAAAGGTTAGACACTCAGGTTAGCTGCCCAAAATAAGACATGATCTCTGCATGTTGTATTTCATTATGGTGTTTATCTTAAATATTTTTTCTCCTGGTTAAAACTTTTCAGGTCTTCTTATATCTCATTGTGGTAGTTTTACAATTTTATTAGCTTTCTTAAAAGCAGTGAATTTTTTTTTCCAAATAGAGTACAATGAAGAACTTCAATATAAAACAGCCAAACGAGAGCTACTCTGATGGAGAAATGGTCCCTACTTATTAGACTATTCTCTCTTTCTGCGATGGTTCTAACAGCCTGCAGAGCCTATATGGATGAAGATGAGTTAGAATACAGATTAACAAGTCTACTGGCCTAGAGGATAAAGTCAACATTCCTTTAACTTGTATACAAAGCTCTCTGCAACCTGATACCTAAACAGAAGCCATAACAAATTGTTTGCAATTTTCCACAAAGAACAGGCTATTTTAATGCTCATTTATAACTTTGTTTATGCCATTTCCACTGCCTATAATGTATTTCACAATTTAATATGCTAGATGGATAACCAGATTTCAAGACTTAAGTGAAACTATAAGTCCTTTCTTGATCACCTACAATCTCTCAGCCCAAAATCGTCTTAAGCTGATAAGCAACTTTAGCAAAGTCTCAGGATACAAAACTACTGTGCAAAAATCACAAGCATTCCTATATACCAATAATAGAGATCCAAATCATGAATGAGCTCTCATTCACAATTGCTAAAATGAAAATAAAATATCATGAATACAACTTAGATGGGATGTGAAGGATCTCTTGACGTACAAACCACTACTCAAGGAAATAAGAGAGGACACAAACAAATGGAAAAACATTTCATGCTCATGGATAACAAGAATCAAATTGTAAAAATGGCCATACTACCCAAAGTAATTTATAGATTCAATGCTATCCCTATCAAGGTACCATTGACTTTCTTCACAGAATTAGAAAAAACTACTTTAAATTTCATATGGAACAAAAAGAGCCCATTTAGCCAAGACAATCCTAAGCAAAAAGAACAAGCTGGAGGCATCATGCTACCTGACTTCAAACAATATTACAAGGCTACAGTAACCAAAACAGCATGGTACTGGTACCAAAATAGATATATAGACCAATGGAGCAGAACAGAGGCCTCAGATATAATGCCACACATCTACTACAATCTAGTCTTTGACAAACCCGACAAAAACAGGCAATGGAAAAAGGATTCCCTATTTAATAAATGGTGCTGGGAAAACTGGCTAGCCATATGTGGAAAACTGAAAGTGGATCACCTCCTACACTTTATACAAAAATTAAATCAATATGGATTAAGGACTTAAATGTAAGACCTAAAAC